GGGGCTAAGGGGAAGTGGGATTGCTAAATGGGAGGTGACCTCAGAGGCACAGATTTTTTTTCCTTGATTTCCTGGTATCGGGCCCTCAGGGTGGTCAGGAGTTCTACCCGTAAAACTTGTTTATGGCTTGATCTGTGAAGCTTGACCGGCGCCTGCCCGTCCTGCAGCCTTTTGATAAGGCTGGTCCTGGTTTTTGTCAATTTTAAACATGTAGGCTCATGAGTACTCATGGCGCCTAGTCTTTTTCAAGGATAGAAATAAACCTACCAAACAATTGGAAACTGACAAGACACTGGAATTGCTATTTTGGTATATGGTAAAGTAGACTTCAGACCAAAACTATTGAGAAGAGATAGAGACCGTTATATATCAATAAAGAGAACAACTCACTGAGAAGACATAACAATTACAAACATACATCAAAAACTAGTGAAACAGGGAGAAAGAGGGTCCCCTAGAGGGTTCTTAGTCTCATTCATAAAAGAATTTAAGAATGGACCCAGACAGAAGCTTTTACAATTTTATTAGAATCTTAAAGAAAAGTCCTCAGGACAGGTGAGCTGGTAACCTTGGCAGCTGCCTTGAGGAGGAGAGTGGAGGGGCAGAGGAAAGAAGCCATGAAGCCATGCAGGTTTAGAACCTGTGTGGGAGGTCAGACATGTGGCTGACTGGCAGCCACATGGCTGGGAGAAGGAAGACTTAGAGAAAAAGTGGAGAACTACAAGATGCTGGGGGCAGCCCAAAGCCTTAAAGAAAACAAGTTTAGTAAGACAGGCATGAAGAAGAAAAGGAGAAATTTCACTTTCCAGAATTCTTCAGGAAAGGGGATGTACTTACAGAGACCTACATGACTGTGGCTGGTCTTAAGGCTCTGTAGGGGCTCTGAGCTAGTTCCGGGCAGGAAAAATTTGCAACCTCATTAACACAGCGGGTATTCTGCTCATCTATTTAGCATAACTTAAGGTGTGCCTGCCTTCCTAGGAGTGGTTCTATCACCAGGTGATTGACCAGTGAGACTGGAAAAGTAGGTCCTCCAACAGATAGACTAGGGATTTTATACTCTAACACTAGGATTCTCAGTTTTGTGAAGCAAACATTGAAAACAAGAAGGGTCCAATGGGCAGATGGGGCAGCCCCAGGGGAGGGGCCGACCTCTTACTGGTGCCTTTCCTTGACTGTTTTAGTACAGAATAAAAGCCAGGTCCTCCTTTGTCCTGCACAGTGTGCCCACTTACTTTCCCATCACCCCACCTTGTCTTCTTCAAGACTCTGGCCTTCTCACTGTCCCTCACATATACCCAGGGGGGCACCTGTGCCCCAGAGCCTTTATACGTGCTCCTCTTTCTCCTTGAAACAATGTACCCCCAGCTCCACATGCCTCCGTCTCTTATGTTTTTTTCAAGGCCTTACCCAAACATCTCATTTTCTTTTTTTCATTAATTTTTACTTATTTACTTTTATTTTGTGTGTACCTGTGTGTCTGTAAGTGCACTCATGTCGTGCAATGCCCGCAGAGGTCAGAAGAGGATGTTGGATCCTCTGGAACTGGAGTTATGAATGGTTGTTAGTGGCCATGTGGGTGTTGGGATCCGAACCCTGGTCTTCTGCAAGAGCAGCCAGTGAGAGAAGGCTCGAACATCTCCCAAAGGAAGCGATTCCTTGCTGCAGCAGCCCCTGACTCAGAACATTCCTGAGCACCGAATACATCTTTGTATGGTTAGTGACAGGTGAAGAATGGCTTGAGGCTGATAACCCACAAAGAATTAGTCAGAAGACAAACCAGAGGGCCTAGCCAGCCATGGTGAATCACCACACCGGGAAACGATCGTCACCTTTCACTTTTAAGCAGAGCAAAAAGCTTCTCGGTGGTGGAAGCCTGATGTCTGCTTTCCCCTCAGTACTAGACACACATGACACTAAATATAACAAACGCAACACACGTTCAGTGTTCCAGGAATTGTCTGATATGACTGGCTAATCTGACTAGGTGAATTCTTGAGTTCATTGTATTCAAGTAAGAATTTCTATTCCAACATGTGCTTTCATGTTACGTTAAATAGAGTTAAACTTGTAAATTACAAGTTTATGTCTTCACTAGAGAAAATTTGGAAGTTAGAGCAAAGTTGTAAAAGGGGGGAAAGGCTTTAATCTTGTCTCCTCTAAAGATCCGTTAGGATTTTTCAGGCTTTCCTTTGAATGTTTTCTTTCCAGATAAGTCGTTTCAACATCAGTATCTTCCTTCTGGTTTTTAGCCACAGTTTTGTGTATGCCCTTCCCTACTTTATTGCAACACTCTTTCCTTTGCTATAAACTTTCTGGAAGGCATTATTTTAAGTGACTGTATACAATATACCAATGAAGGTGCCTCATAGCTCCCTTCAGGCCCCTGTCATTCGATACCTGCTGTCAAGGGTCATGGCCTGTTTATCAGTCTGTTACCTGTGCTCATATTATGTGTTATATGGAGTTAATGAGAAATAATTGGGAGGATGGGGAAATCAATGCTAGGTATAAAGTCGATGCTTGACATGAACACTCTAGGAAGGGTGGCATGCTGGCAGTCACTGTGCCTCTGTTTTCTGGTTGCAGGCTACACCTCATGCAGGTGGACTCAGTCCAGCGCTGGATGGAGGATCTGAAGCTCATGACCGAGTGTGAATGCATGTGTGTCCTGCAGGCAAAGCCCATCAGCCTGGAGGAGGACACGCAGGGTGACCTCATCCTAGCTGGTGGTCCTGGCCCAGGGGATTCCCTGCAGCTACTGCTGAAGCGGGGCTGGGTCATCAGCACCGAGTTGCGCAGGATTGGGCAGAAGCTGGCCCAAGACCGCTGGGCACGTGTGCACAGTATGAGCGTGCGTCTGACATGCCATGCCCGTTCCATGGTCAATGAGTACAGCGTAGTCAGCAAGAGCTCCTCACAGGAAATGGGCCAGGTCAGTGGGATGTGGATAGGTGTGGCGGGTGCTGGGTGTGGCAATGCCTTCCCAGTGGTCTTCCTCATCTTGTAATACAATTGAGGACAGTGACATTTAATTAACAATGACATTTTTTTTTTTACGCACATCTCATTTAACCTGCACAGCCACTCTAAGAAGCTGTACAGGGATTAAGTATATGAGCCTTAGTGCTGCGTGGGTTAAAATGTCAGTGCACGGTGTGACTTGGACAAGATACTTAACTTCTGTGTGAACTGATGCTTTCTCCTAATGAGTATGACATTTATTTCATGAGGACACAATGAGTTATTACATGTAAAACATTTCAAGCAGTTGACTGAAAATAGTAGAATTATCTTCATTTTACAGTTGAGGACACAGCGATTCCACGAGGCTAAGGAACTTGCCCAGGCTTAAGCAGTGAGTGTTGAAACGGAGGTTCAACCCTAGTTTTTTGGATTCCTCAATACATTGAATCTTCTTAGTGCCAAAAGTAAACTACTGAACCCCCCCCCTTAGCATGATTTCCCCCTTTCCTCCCTCATTCAGTGTGAACTTTCCCTTCCTCCATGTGCAGGCAGTAAGCCTCTATCCATACTTTGAAATCCAGCTTATATGCCTCCTTCTCCAAGGAACCTCCTAGATCCTGTGGTGTAACAAATTACGTGAGCTTTTTCTCTTACTCTCTCAGAGTAGCTAACCTTGATCTCATTCATTACCCATGTCCCAAGTTACAGGGTGTTCTAGATTTTATCCCTGTTTCCCAAGCTAGAGTACTTCCTCCTGCAGCATCATGCCGCAGAGTGCCCAGTACAACTGGTCCTCAGTGGCATGACATTGATTTTTTTTTTTTTCCTACAGGCAGAAAAGCTGCTCATGGAGAAATGCTCTGAGCTTTCAGCTATCACAGAGAGGTAAGTGCACTGGGGCTCCAAGCCAGTCTTCTAGCTTGGGAAGGGATTCTTGTTCTCCCTGAAGAGCGAGGGAGAATACAAAAGCTAGTGGTGGGTTGGTTTCCTCTTTCTGTGTATTATGAGAAAACTCAAAAGATTACCTTGAAGCCAGTGTGATGACTCACATCTATAACTGTAGCACTTGGGAGGCAGAAGCAGAAGGATTGCTACAATCCAGTCTGGTTTATAGTGAGTTACAGACAAGCAAGGGTAAAATAAACTACTAAAAGAAAATATTCCCTCGAGATTTCTTGTCCCATATTTAAGGCCGCAGATAAGTCAAAGGCAGAAGAAAAACCTGGGCATTAGTAGAAAGAGAATTGGGGCAATCTGACAACAAGGAGAGTTTCCTTCAGGTTTGGAAAACCCCCACTGGTGTCCAAAGTCAAGGCAAGAGTCATAGCAAGGTGAAAGCCTGAACGCCCGCCTCCACACACATGCACACAGACACAGATATTCACAGACACCTACTTGCTCACTCACAGACATATAAACACACACTCATGCAATCACAGAAATCTATCCACACCTTCTTCTCCCAATCACACACACACACATAAGCATGCATGAGTTCACACTCAAATACACAAACACACTCAGCCTCATGTGGGCACCTCCCAAGTGTGAGCTGACATGTTCCTTCATCCTTCCCTGGCCCAAACCTGGATCTTAGCACTCTTTGGGGGCTAGAAAGCCTTTGGTTTTCCTGGGTGGAAGAGTCTTAGGCCACAGGTTGAATTTAAACCCAAGTCCTCTTTACTCTTCCTGTTTGAGAGGAAAATTCTTGAGGCTGGTTTGTTTGTTTGTTTCATATTGTAGGCAGCAATTCTTATAGGTTCAGAGTGGCCTTGGACCTGAAGATAGAGCCCTGGTGGTACCTGGCCGGCCACCTTCCCCACAACTTAATGCCCCTCCACTCAGGGCAACCCTGAGACCAGATACCTTGTCTACAATGACAGCCCATGTTCCAAGGGGAAGCCCAAGAATCTGACTTGACCGCTTTCTGATGATGACACTTCCTAGTAACAGAATCTCTGATGAGTCCAGCACTTCTCTGTAAACCAAGGGGTCAGGGAATGGGACAGTTGTGGAAGATTCCAGCTCTGACTCCTTGGAGCTGGTGCCTTCCCTCTAGTCCCTTCTTCCTGTACCTGGTCTTCTTCCATAGCCATGGTTCTGGCCCAACCAAGCACCCCTTTTGTGAAAACTCAAAAGATTACCTTGAAGCCAGTGTGACCCATTCATGGTTTTTCTTCCCAGATGCCTCCAGGTGGAAAATGAACATGTTCTGAAGTCAATGAAGGCCTGCGTGAGTGAGACACTGAGCACACTGGGCCAGCACTTTGGCCAGCTACTGGAGCTGGCCCTGACACGGGAGGTACAGGTCAGTGTGGGCCAGGAAGTAGAGGACACCTTGTGGTCACCTGGGAGGGCGCAGGGAGGCACTGGGTCAGATTGGAGGAAAGTGCAGTGGCCTATCTTGAGAGACATCCTCTTCAGACCACCAAAGTCCATACCAGCATCTTTGTGAAGTCTGTCAGAACTTGGCTGCATCTTCCAGAGCACCTACTCCAAACCTGTGCTTTCCAGATGTGAGAATTGGAGTTCAGAGAGGGAAAAGATTCATCCAGAGTCACATAACAAAATGGTGGCACAGCCTATGTATCCGAATTACACGTTCGGTATAGTTCCCACACCCAGAACCTTTTCTTGCACATAGGGCATCTTTCTTTTCTTGAAAGACTTAAGCTACCTGTAGGGAGTAAGCCAAATTTTGGAAGTCCTAGCCACACAGAAACATCTAGAAAGGTCAGTCACTGATTCGAGGCAGGCTTATGTTTGATTCCAGAAAGAGGGTACACTAGGCAGTCTGACAGATCAACTGTAAACCGGTTCACCACAGGGTATTAGGCAATCTCATTAACCTCTCTTGGCCTCCTCTTCCTCATCTGTGAGGCAGAACCTTCCCAAGGAGGTAAGAGAGAGGAATGGAGAAGCACGGAGAAGGTGCTCAGCAAGCATTTGGGTTAAATACGTGTCACTTGCCTCCCTGCCCTTTGCCATTCTAAAGCCTCCCAACAGCAGATTCCATAAGGTTCTCATTAGGGAAGCTATTTACATGCTATTTATAGTTCAGAAATATTCTGTCACATACTTACCATTCTTTCCCACCATCAAATAAAAGCCTCCCATAAATAACAAACCCCTTTCTATGCCTGATTTTCTCAAAAATCAGCCTCTCTGCCGAGCCCAGAGATTCCTTTCTTTCCTATGGGGCTCAGTTTGCATGGGACTCAGGCACTTTGGGCCTGAATCACCTGCTGGTCCTGCCTTAGTCCATTTTACTTGGTCCCACAGGGCCTATACCCATACCTCTATACCCTCTGGACCCAGGTACTTTGACACTCCCAGCCACAGGAAAGTCCTCAAAGGCCACCTTTCCTGCCCTTAGAGTCTGGAACAAATGGAAGGTGGGTCCAAAAGCTGGGATGCTGGGTCACTGGGTCTCCAGGGTGCTGGAGCTCTGGAACAGGCACTTGGAGCTGATGAACCTGCATTGGCAGTTATAAGAAGGGGCAAAGTTTATGCCCCAATGGACTCATGAAATCCCAGTGAATCAGTAGCACATGGGTGCCAGTGTTAGCGAGGAGAGCTAATGAAGGATGAACCAAAACATTGAAGTCTGGGGGAGAAGACCCCTAAACCCTGGAGACTCCCCGAAGAACGTCTAAACAAGGGCACAACGTCTCTTCCTATCAGGGAGCCATGAGGCAGCGTTTCTCCTGCTTTGGGAAAAGCTAGGAGGCTTTGGAGGTCTTTTGGATCTTGTGTTTGACTTCCGGGCCATGTTCCATTTTGTTTTTTCCTCATTCTGACATTACTCAGGGTAGAATTCCTGACTCTGTAGCCAAAAGACCCTGGCTGGCTGCTTCCCCACTGGCAGCTCTAACCACCAGGTTAGACCTGGTTCAGCTACCAGTCTGCCAAGGTTGATTCTCTATAGGCCTCAGTTCCCAGGTAGAGGTGGCAAGGTCTGTCCCAATGTGTCTGCATATTTATTTGCTTCCTGATAGCTTCCTGTCTTGGTGTTTCCTCCTTCCCTTCTAACATTCCCTATGTATCCTCAAATTTCCTATAAGCTAAACTTACCATATCCATACTATATCATGGCTGGTCCTTATCTTCTTTTTACGTCATAAAATTTCCACACAGGACAGTGGTGATGTTGGGAAGGCTGAAAGTAAGATCACTGGTGTTCAGTGTCGTAAGCATGTGCCTCTTAAGCTAGTGACTCAAAGGGGAACCTGTTTTACCAGGAACCTATATTTGGGGTCTCCTCATATAACTGCCACAAAACCTGTTTCTTTGCATAGGAAAGTCTATGATGAGCTGTTCTGCCCTGCAAACCTTCCGAAAGGCCATACACTCACAGTGCTTTTGTTCATCTGTAGACACAGATTTTTATTTGTTTTATGATGTGTTTCTAAGGCCTGTGTTATTAAGAGAATAACCCAAACAACATATGGTACAGAAAGCTTAGTGACATATTTCAAACTACCAGAATCACACTTAAAAACTTAAACATCTGCTTACTTAAGCTGGAATTCTGATATTTAAAAAAAAAAACAAAAACCCGCAGTTTTGGAAATATTCTTTTAGCACTAGCAAGCCACATAGGCTCTTAAGAAGGAATGACACCCCAAACACATACAAAAATTTAATGATGAAGCAAAGCTTACAAGGGCAGAAACAATATTAATAGCACTCTATATTGGCCTGATTCTCCATTAATAAAATGTTTAGTTATAGTTCCTAGACTGGTGGTTGGCAACATCTGTGCTGTATTAGTTACTTTTCTTTCCCATTGCTATGACAAAACTTCTGGCAAAAGTGACTTAAGGGAAGAGGGATTTACTTTGGCTCAAGGTTGGAGAGACTGCCAGTCCATCATGACAGGGAAGGTGTGGCAGTGCTCGCAGTAGCGGACACCTGGAGCTGGAACACCTCACATCTGGGTCACCTCACATCTGGGTCACCTAGCAGGAAGTAGAGAGCCCATAAAGCTGATGCTCAGCTGACCTTCCCCTTTTTATTGAGTTTCAGACCTCAGCCCAGGGCGTGTTGTCACCTACATTCAGGCTGGGCCTTCCCTCCTTGGCTGAACCTCCCTGAAACACCCTCACAGATGCGCCTAGAGGTGTATCTCCTAGGCAATCCCGAATCTAATCAAATTGACAGTGAAGACTAATTATCATACACACGCGGGGGCAGTTCCTAGGAGCAAGGGGAGGTGCTGAAGATCTTAATCTACAAATGGACATTTGGATAATACAGGTGCTTTGGAGCCATAAAAAGAAGGCATACCTAGGGGTATGGACCTAGGGGTCCATTTGGTTGAACCTACAGGATATCCCATGTAGAGTACTTTCCCAGCAACATGAGGGGCTGCCCAGCTGTGTGGTCTAATACAGGCACGTAAAGGCTTAGGCGAGATAACCCAAATGTGCGTGCCAGATAAGAAGTAGAAAAGCTGTAAAGTTCACCCTGCCACGTAACTTTCTAGGAGAAAAAGCAAATAACAAAGAATGCCTCTTCCACCTTGCTCTGTATCTCTCAAGCAGCAGTTACTCCAGTGTGTGTGCAAGGGGCATATTCATTCTTTCTCTCACTGCTGTGACAAAATTCCTGATAAGAACAACTTAAGAAGAGTTTGTTTTGGCTTAAGGTTTGTGGATACAGTCCATTATGGGAGAGAAGTCCTGGTGGCAGGAGGGTGCGTGAGGCAGCCGGTCACATCATATCTGCATTCAGGAAGCAGAGAGATGGGGGGACGGCTGGTGCTCAGCTCGCTTTCTCTGTTTTATTCAGTCTGAGACCCCAGCCCGTAAGAGAGTACTGCCCACATTAGGAGAGGTTTTCCTTTCTCAGTTGATCTAACCTAGAAACTCCCTAATGGGCATGCCCCGAGGTTTGTCTTCTAGGTGGTTCTAGATCCTATCAAGTTGATACCCAATATTAACTATCACAGGGGGACTCTGGTTTCCTTTGTTGCTGTAGTCCAAGCTGCTTCTACAATGACAAGATGGTGTTTCAGGAAATGTCTCTTTGTGCTGGTGCATTCCAAACGTGATTGAAGTGCCCAGAGAGTTAGCATATCAGACCCCTGTCACCTCAGCTCCAAGAATATTAAAATAGGCCAATTCTCAATCCTGAGGGTAGGAACTTCAGGCATCATTTTGTGCCAGGATTTCATGCTTTGGGCTTCCAGAGGCCTTAGATTCTCAAGGCATCGTCTGGACTGTGGCCTGGAAGGGATACCAGCCAGTGTAGTTCTTTCAGTTTTCCATAGCCCACAAGACTTGTGAACATGTGCTTGCTGGGGAAGAGAGCCCCGGTGGGTTAACTGTGGTGCTGTAATCACCATATATGGGAGAAAAGTGTCCCCCTTTCTCAGAAGGGCATTTGGACATTTTTATCTTCTTGCAAAGTCAGGAATTTGCAAGTACTTTACCTGGATGTACTTGGTTTGCATTCTTTCCCACCCAGCGCAGCTAAATCACCTTCATTTCTGGCTCCCTCTGATGCTGTTTCCACATCCCAGGTTGCCCTGGTTTGGGCTCCTTGAAGTGACTTGGGCTGGTGATCTTCAATCAACTTTGAACACATTGTATTCCTCGGGTTCCCAAAGGTTCCCAGGAGACATGCAAGCACATAGCAGTCTAAGTGAATCTATTTCTAGATCTTCAGTTTTCATTTGTTTTCTTTCCCAAAATGCAGCTCCCGGTAATTCATGGAATTCCTGCAGTCCTGTTACTTTCCAGAGGAAAGAAGTTTACCACATAGCCCAGGTCCTTCAGAGCCTCGTCCTGCTTTCCACATTCAGGGTGTGAGAATGGGCAAGCTAGGGAACGAGACACCTTCATTTAGGAACCATGAATCCCTTGGGCTTCTGTGATTACCTCCTTTTTTTCATATTTGTATTGAGAAGGCCGTTAGAAATGCTGTATTTCCTCCAGGGTAGAGATTGTAGAATATATGGTTTGAAGGGAGGTCATTTAAGAAAGCTACCAATTATTTGATCTTTTCTATCCATTTATTCTAGAATAGTGTGTGGCTCTTGAGAGACAGTCTTCCTGGATCCAGAGCCAAGAGGATTGGTGGGCTGCATCAAAGCCTGAAAGTGGCTGTGCTAGAGCTCACATTGAAACAGTGGCCATGCCTTTCAGCCACATTTCATGCTCATTCTAGATTGTGACATTAGCTGGAAATAAAAGTATCATTGAAGAGTCAAAGACTCTAAAGGTTAATTATGCTGATTTTTCTAAATGTAACTGGAATATTTTGAGAACACAAAATGTTCAAGATATAGTACATAAAGCACAG